CTGCTGCATACCACCTCTCGGGGCTCCACACCCCTTCATCGAGGTAGGCCCCTGAGATGGTACTGGGCCAGGCCTGCGCGAGGGGGGAATCGCGCAGGACCAGCAGATCTGTCCTGGAATACATCACCAAGCAAAGCGATGAGTCCGGCCGCAGGAAACCCAAGAAATGGGGGGAGAAGCATAGTCCTCGTGAAGTCAAGTAATCCATTTAGGAAGCCGCTAGGCCGCGTCCCTCGCCTCACAGGCCATGGCCAGGCCACCAGATCTTCCAGGCCAAAGCCAGGCCGCGCACCCTCACCGTCAGATCTTTCCCTCAGGCCGAAAAGCCAGCCATCCATCCCTCAGGCCAAAAAGCCATCCATCCATCCATCCATCTTTATCTTAGTAGTTTAAACAAATTTTAAACAAATATCCAATTTAAAATATAAAACATTTGAAGGACATATTCCATTGTTGTACTTACATTGCCTCAAACAAATGCAGATATTGTTCATCTCCACGACCTCCTTCTACCTCATGATCCAATTTTAAAATTATTTCATTTTCAAACTGTTTAGAAGAGGAAAGCAAAATCATTAAGCAGAGCACAAATTCTTTTTGGAACTTATTCCTATAAAATTGATAGCTTTTATGATTCTCAAATGTACATCTCCCAAGTGTAGCACATAAAAGTCAAGTAAGCGTGTATGTTTTTTTGAAGAGGAATATTTCTCAAATTAGCACCAGGGTTGTAATGACATTAAAAGGAATATATGATTTCATCACAACATACTGAAATTTATGTCTGCGTAAACAATTAGATCTTAGAATAAGCTCATAATATTTCAGGTACAATAAGGTATTAAAATACATTGCATGTATGCATTTGAATTGGTAACAAAATTCTAAGATCATTAAAATATTCTAAGATGATTAAAAAACAGATTTTGGATATCTATCTAGACTGACATTTCTTCTATCTGTTTTTAAGTGTTCAGGAAGTGAATTTCAAAATGAAATGTATATGAATAATCTGGATGAGGGGATTGATGACACAAAGTTGGGAACTTTGGCTGACACTGAGAATGACTGAATTTGCAGTCAGAATCTAATCTGGATAGTTTGGAAAACTGGAGGGTTTGTAGCCCTACATCCAAAGACTTGGGAGTGAAAACTGACAACAAGCTGAATGCAAGTCAGTCAGGTGAGACATCTGCTACAAGAGCTGACATCCCAAAGATGCTTTTTCACGAGGCAGCTGGACTTTCTTTTTTGTCTTTGAAAACATTTTGCTTCTCATCCAAGAAGTTTCTTCAGCTCTCTGCAAGAGCTGACAGTTTTGGGCTGCTTCAGAAGAAACGTAAGTTTAAGGTAAAGGGATGTCAAGTGACTATAGCTATCTACTTAGCCTACCTTAGATGAATTGTGCATGATCCTGGACATCACATTTCCAGGTTAGAGAATGGCAAGAAAGACTATACAGGAAATTGGGAATTTGCCCTATGTGGACATGCCCAAAGAATTTCAGAATACAGATTTTAAATAGTCAGTAATACTTAAGGGAGACAGGAAAGCAATCATAAAGGGAAGATACAGGAAAGATGGCAAAGAATTATTTTCCCATGACCACAGAAATTAAAACATAATGGATATAAGTTGTGCTTATCAAGATTTTATTTAAATATGAAGTAAACTTTCAGCCACTTCTCATTAATCATTATCCTCCGCTCTACAAAGGATCGGATTAGTTGATACTTGTGATCACTTTCCATTCTACAGTTCTACAATTTATTATTTTATGGAATAGAAACCTTCTCACATTCTTTTTAACATTACAGAAAACAAATACACTGTAAACTATATGCATGCACATTTATACCACAAAAATGATATTATATCAGGGACAAGACACACTGGTAGTACATACTGGTTTCTGGAATATGAAAAATTAAGGTCTCATTGCTAAATATTTTGCTATTGATTTTTATCGTCACAATTTTGGCAGTTTGGAGAGTTTACATACACAAATAAAATGATATTTTATTTTAGGGGTTTGGAGAGCTGGAAAAGAAAAAGAGAAGTGAGATATTCCAGCTATTGTCCAGAAATTCTATGGGCACCAATACAAATATTCCATGTATATGATTGTTTCAAAATCTCAAGATAACTTTTCATTATAGGTTCACGTTAGAAGGCTAACTTTGAATCCAAAGAATTATTAGATCTCTTCTCAAGTCTAAGCTGATGACTGATCAGATCCTTGAGAAAGTCTGAACACCATGTATTTATGACAGTAAGTTGGCTGTAGTTTTTAAGGCATCATGTGACATTCCTGGACACATATGTTCTATGCTGCTTTAGACACAAAGCCAGATGTGTGACTTTGGGCCGGTCACTTTTTCTCAGCTCTAGGATGCAGGCAATGGCAACCCACTTCCAAAATTGCTGCCAAGAAAACTGCAAGAACTATTATGTACTGAGAAGAAAATAGTATATGAGAATGATTCCAATATTAATACCTACTTACTAAACAAAGTGATAAAAATAGCCATTTTAAAATGAGAACACAAAATACTGTGACTTATAAAATAATTTACTTCTTTGGATAATATTATATTGAGATCTTTAAAAGGTCAATTTGCCCAACTTTAACTAATTTTGACATACTACTAGTACTAATTAGTTTAACTAATTTTGACATACTACTAATTTTGATATACTACTACAACACCGTGTAAAAGAGAATTCAGACAAATCAGAAGAAAAAAAATTGTTCAGTATAGCATGATAGATTCTAATGCATTCCGCTTACAGTTTGATAACAAATGTTAGGTGAGCATGAAGCTTAAGAAACATTTAAGTGAAAATGCTAGCCTGTTTTGCAAATTAACCTCCTCCTTCTACTGTTATGAAGTTAGGTTCTGAATTTAAAATCTATGTTATAAGAATGAAAAAAAATATATGCATTTCCTGTGGAGAAGGGAACACAGGTATCTCAAAAACTACTCTAAAATCAAGAGCTGGGAAAAAATGGATACAGTAAATCAAAATGACGCCTGGATAAAAAGGATTTTGCTTTAAACTTCTGAAGCACTAAATGGTAATGATCATAGTATTGTATAACTCTTTTTAAGTAAACCTCACTTGAGTCATTAGCTTTAATTGTTGATTTTTAAAAGCTAGTGACTTTATGTGTTTAGATCCAGCGACTAGCGACATTTGTTATACAGTTACACCATATGAGCCAATTTGATGAAAATATTACATGAATTGGGGTGTTTTGTTTTTTTTTAGATTTGCCCTTTCTGTCAATGCCATTTGATGCACCAATGAATCCAAATATGGTCCATGTGAAGCTATTTTGCTTCCAGCAGTTTTTGCCCAAATCACATTTCAGTGAAGCTTGAAAGTTCAGAGAGTGACAAGACATCACTTAACTCTGTATGTCTCATAATATTCAGGTGATAAACCTGGGCTCTACTTGGAAAACATCTGGCAGCTACATATGTGACAGCAAAGGTCTGTCCTCCGCATGAGAGCTTCTATAAGCACAGTTTTGCTCAAAACTTTAAAAATAATGTAAGGCTCCCAGTACATTTTTGTACACTGACTTGAAGATCCCCCACACAGAATTATTTCCGACGATGTCTGTCTACCATCAGATGTGTTTGATGAAACAAAGCATTATTCTTCTCTAAATTTGCTTTGGAAGATTGGGAAAACTAGATGAATGTCTAGGAGAAGACTAAGAAAGAAAAATGTCTATATACCACACTGGGTGAATTGAATACAGGACAGGAAACTGAATACTCAAGTGGAATGAATTAGAATTAAAAATGTGTAAAAACAGCAACATAGAAATTTAGAAAAACAAGCCCACCCGGGAAAGAGTGCCAGATTTACACAGCCATTATGTGTGTGTGTGTGTGTGTGTGTGTGTGTGTGTGTGTGTATGTATGTAGAATATTTTATTAGTTTTCTAATTTTACAATTAAACATTTAAAAAGCAATGTGGTGGCTGGGTAGTCAATAATTCAATAACATACATAAATCTTTAGCACAAATCTCAAGTTACAACATCAAATAATTCCTCTCTTTTTCCCTTAATATCTACTATCTCATATTGAGCTAATATAGTTCTTATTGTTATCAACTAAATAAAACCATCTTTGTTACATTTATCAATAGTTTTTAGCTTATACATATCTTAATTGTGTTTGCATTCAATCCTTATATACAATCAATGTCCTGTTATTGCTTTTTTTCCAGGCTTTAATTTCCCCTCAATATTCAAGTTAACATTTGGTATATTATAATTTCCAAGCTTTAGGTGACCAGAGTTTCTCTTATTTCAACTTCTACATTTTTCCCTTTTTATAACAAAATCTAAAATTCTAAATACACATCTTGTCTATTCGCATATAATCTTATTCTATTTTCTAAAAGTTATCTATTTTCTAAAAGTTTCACCATATTAAACCAAAAGTCTATTAATTTTATTACACATCTTACCTATTCAATTATAATGTTACTTTATTTTCTAAAAATTAGCTATTTTCCACCATATTCAACCCACTAATCAATAGTATAAAATTCCCTCTACTAGATCAAAACCCAATTTCTTTCAGCCTTACTCTGACTTTTTTCCTTTGCCAACTAACCTTCCATGTCCATGCTTTTGAATCCTCAAACATTCTCCCTCTATTATTATATGTATTATTTGAAATAAGAAAGACCATTTAATTACAGGTTTTTTTGGAAGGACTAGCCCAATTGTATTCATTTAATTTCCTCCCTATTACTCCAATTTCCCACAATTGTCCTGATAAATTTATCTTCCATTCAATCTGTTCTTCTTCCTTTTCCTCAAATTTCTTCTGATTTATATAAAAAGTCTTTTCCATTTTCAATGTTGCCCACCCGGGAAAGAGTGCCAGATTTACACAGCCATTATATTTTTAAGTGGTAAACTAATCTTGCTGTTTATAAGGAGATGCTTGTGAAACAGTGCTGGAAGCAAAAGCTCATAAACAGAGCAATAAGTCAGCAACTTTAAAAGACAAATGTTTCCTAATGCGCTAATAAAATATAAGTTCAAATTCATAAGAAATTTCAAAATAATTCTGTTTGTCTTTAGATTAGTATTAGGACTATGTTGATGTATCTAGTATATTACAGGGTCAAGTGATAACAATTTTAGTCCTGCAGCAAGGGGAAAGTAAAACTATTAGAAAATGAGAGGAATGTGGTTTCCTGAATTGGGGATAAAGAGAATAAAGAGCTATGTATTCAAATATGTATCTGAAACTCTTATTATTAACAACACAAGGGGAAAAAAATCCATGGGTTTAATAATTATATAATTCTACCACTGAAACATGGGCTAAACAGAAACATTTTCTACACAGAAGCATCTAATTCGCCCCCCCCCCCCTTCTTATTGCCTAAACCAGAGGTAGGCAACCTTGGCTCTTTTCTGACTCGTGGACTTCAACTCCCAGAATGGGAGCATGGCTGGCTCAGGAATTCTGGGAGTTGAAGTCCACGAGTCATAAAAGAGCCCAGGTTGC